TTGGTGAATGAATGCATGAATGAATGAATGAATGAATGAATGAATGAATGAATGAATGAATGAATGAATGAATGAATGAATGAATGAATGAATGAATGAATGAATGAATGAATGAATGAATGAATGAATGAATGAATGAATGAATGAATGAATGAATGAATGAATGAATGAATGAATGAATGAATGAATGAATGAATGAATGAATGAATGAATGAATGAATGAATGAATGAATGAATGAATGAATGAATGAATGAATGAACGAATGACTGAGTGAGTGAGTGAGTGAATGAACGAACGAATGAATGAATGAACAAATGAATGAACGAAGAAATGGAAAAATATATAAAAACGTAACCATGATGGTGTTAATAATAGAATCCTATTACTTCTTAACTAACCATGTATACCGGAAATCTAATGAAGAAAAAAGATTAATTTTTTCATTTTGATTATATCAACTCGAAGAAAAATCGAGTGTATGTATGTATGTATGTATGTATGTATGTATGTATGTATATATGTATGTATGTATGTATGTATGCATGAATGAATGATTGATTGATTGATTGAATGAATGAAATTAAATTTAGCATGTATGTATGTATATATGTATGAATGAATGAATGAACGATCATTCATTCATTCATTCATTCATTCAATCATTCATTCAATCGTTTTTTTGGTTCATTCACTTACTCATTCATTCATTTGTACAAACATGTCCTGGCTTACTATTACTTTTTAAATTTGAACTCCAGGATGTGATTCAAAACCAAACTCTGATGGATGACGTTGCCAAAGAACAAAAATAAAAAGAATAATTTATTTTATTTATTAATAAACGTAACTGACCAGAGGGCCCTTCCGAAAGTTTAAACTCTGAGGTCAAAATTAGTATGAAAATAAAATTTCATTCGCCATGGAGACGAAAATACGTTTCGATCGCAAATGCTTCCACCCGGCAAGAATTTGAAAAAAAAATTATTTTTTTTCAAGAAAACCTACATCAATGAAAATGATTGCAAACAACAACAATAACAAAATAAAATACAAATAATAACAATAAAATAATAATACTAATAATAAGATTTGAAAATTTAAATTTAGAATAAAAAAAAAATGGAAATCAAAAAATAAGTCATCTATTCTATTGTACATTTCTCAAAATTCAACAATAATAAATCTCTTTCTCTCTCCTTCTCTCTCTCTTTCTTCTCTCTCTCTCTCTCTCTCTTTCTCTCTCTCTCTATAAATAACTGAGATTCTGGTACCACTTTAACACCATTATCTTACAAAACGTGATGGGATTACCAACATCAAGCCAAACTGGACATCACTTGCAGATGGCCACCCACCTTCTCACAAAACACTTCCGGCAAACAACAGCGCAACACCATTTAAATTTGCATAGACACTTCTTGACGATCGTCTTCACCACGATATCGAACCCGCGACCGCAGCATATGGAGCCACAGTCGTTATCATCTAGGCTAGAGGCGTTACATTGCCGGCCTGTGGTGCCTAGAATTTTGAGTTTGGGCTCTGGATTACAAAAATTGGGTGAATTTTGGGTGTAAATTAAGCTGTCTCTTAAGTTGCGTGGTGTGTTTGTGTGGGGGTTTTTCATTAGGAAGTTAATTTGTTTGTTGTTATTGTTGTTGTTGTTGTTGTTGTTGTTGTTGTTGTTGATTTTATTATTATTATTATTATTTATGTTGTTGTTGTTGTTGTTGTTCTTCATGTCTTTGATTTTTTTGTGGCGTTTGCATTTAGACTGATTTTGTTTGCACGTTGATTTGTTGCTGCTGTTGTCGCTGCTTCTGCTGCTTTTGCTACTGCTGCTGCTGTGGTTTACATTTGGATGTTTACACTTGCAATGTTTAATTTTTTTGGGTTTGTTGTGTCTTGCTTCCATGACGATGTTGACTTTGTTGATGCTGTCCTGAAAACGGCTTATATATCTGTTGACTCTGTTGTTGTTGTTGTTGTTGTTATTAAACATGTTGTTGTTGTTGTTTTTGTTGAGTCTGCTGTTGTTATTAATCATGTTGTTGTTGTTTTTGTTATTAATCATGTTGTTGTTGTTGTTGTTGATGATGATGATGACGTTGTTGTTTTTGTTGTTGCTGGCATTGATATTTTCATTTGAGTCGTACGGCATATTATACCTTTTCCTCTTCAACTTTTTCGAGGTGAACTTAAATTTCTTTGGTGATAAGTTTTTGATTTTATATTCTATGGTGTTCGTTCTTTCGACCTAGACAAACAAAGAAGAATAATTTCAGGATTGAAAAAATATATATATTTATATTTCTTTGTTCGATTTTTTTGTTGGCCTGTGTGTCTCATTGTTCATTCATTTATTTCCTAAATTAATCATAAAGTAATTCATTCATTAATTCATTAATATATTCATTCATTCATTTATTCATTCATTCATTCATTCATCCACCAACTCTTCGTTCATTCATTCATTCATTCATTCATTCATTCATTCATTCATTCATTCATTCATTCATTCATTCATTCATTCATTCATTCATTTATTTATTCATTCATTCATTCATTCATTCATCCACCAACTCTTCGTTCATTCATTCATTCATTCATTTATTCATTCATCCATCTATTATTCATTCTCTCCCATTCACTCATGTTTACAAAATTTCCAACGCAAACGCACCCACCCTGACGGCCATCTTGAATTTCGTTTTGATGACGTCAGCGACTCTCCTGAAATCGGGCGCCACCTTCCAGCACGTTTTCAGCTGACAACTTCCGGAAACGCCGTGGCACTTGCAGCGAACGATCGCCATTTTTTTCACTAACTGCGTTGAGGGATTAGTGGATTAGGAGTTGAATTAGGATTAGGACAATTAGGAGTTAGGAATCGTGAAACAACCAACAACCTCAAACGAAAATAACATTAATAACAACGAAAAGAATTTTCCAAAAACGTCACTGATAACAACAGCAATCATACAAACTCCTTTTAATTCACACACACACACGCACACACATACATACATACACACACACACACATATACATAAATAAATACATACACACATAGGTTAACTAATTGTAACAGACATCTTTATATCTGCAAACGTTGCTTTCAATTGAGGAAGATATTAATTAGCATATACTGTGTGTATGTGTATGTGTGTGTGTGTGTGTGTGTGTGTGTGTGTGTGCGTGTGTGTGTGTGCAGCAACAAAAACATCAAAGCATCGACGACGACATAATCACAGGATTCATTGAGAAGTTGTTTGATTGATTTGCGAAATCGTTCGTAACTCCGCCCATATTGTTTTGAAGCGTTTCGATTGGATGACTATTTTTAGTATACTTCCTTATGAATTTTAAATCAAACTTATAAATTTACTTAAACTCGTCATTATGAATGACGTCATAGTATTTATACTACTTACATTAACAACAATAATAATAATAATAATAATTAAATTGCATAATAATAATAATTAAATAATAATATTATATCAGTTAAATAGATTTAGTTTCGGAAATTCTCAATTTAATTGAATCAATTGAATAAATTAAAATTCAATTAGATTAAAAGTTAAATTAAGTTAAAATCTTCCAAGACTGTTTTTGAAAATTTTCATACAAGTTTAAATTTTAGCTCATAACGGAGAGCATGGTCTTCAACGTAATTGTCTGATTAGATACGCCTCCGTTTGAGTTAACTTTTGTTTCTGCTGATAAATTATTATTAATAAATGCGTTATATAGTTTATTCTCAATCAGGCAACCAATCAAATTTCTCAATCAATCAGCCAGCCAATCAATCAGCCAGCCAATCAAATTTCTCAATCAATCAGCCAGCCAATCAAATTTCTCAATCAATCAGTCAGCCAATCAAATTTTTCAATCAATCAGCCAACCAACTAACCACACCAACCAGTCAATCAAATCTACTCTAACCTAACCAGACAATCAAAACTCCCCATTCCAATCATCTAACCAATCAAATCAATTGAAAAAGAGAGCCTAACTTTTCTTCCGAGATTTTCATTATGTTGTTGAACGTGCCATAAAATATCCTGGCCGCGCAAACTTCGGCGTTCCATAAACTTTTTCCCCATGACGTCACCATACGTCAAACTTGATTGGCAGGCCTGTGAATAGCCCCTTAGCTTGCCCCAAAAATCTGTCTGCGTGTGTGTTTTGGAATGATCTGGGCGATGGCTTGATTGGGCTGAAGTCTGATTTTGTTGTTTTGGTTATGTTTTAGTAGTTGGGACTGTTGTTTTGTTGTTTTTCTCATAACTACAACACGTTACGTCTACACACACACAACACACAACACACTTCTCAACCAAACACACCTCAGCCACACACACTTCTCAGCCACACATTTCTCAACCACAAACTTCTCAGCCACACAAACCTCAGCCACACAGCCACACGAATACTGGAGATCGCCGGCCGAACACGCTCTTGATATCTGTGTCGAGACGCTGGCTCCCAGCAGTGCAAATATCACCGATGACTCTTTAAAACCTTTTTTTGGATCGGAAATTTGTTTACCTAATGCTTAATTAGGTTTAATTCCTTAATTGTAATTGATGTTTAATTGTATTTAGTATGTCAATGAGCGTTTAATTGAGTTTAATTTGAGTTTAAATATGTAAATTTATGTTTAATTTTTGTATAAATGCGTTTAATTGACGTTTATTGTAGAACTATTAGAACCTTTGTTTATGAAGATATCCTTAAATAGATCAGTACCTCTGTGATACATCACATTCGTGCAATCCCATAACTCGTTTTTGAATTGATACCTGAAGATTGATTGATTGATTGGTTGGTTGGTTGGTTGGTTGGTTGGTTGATTGGTTGGCTGGTTGGTTGTTTGGTTGGTTGGTTGGTTGGTTGGTTGGTTGGTCGGTCGGTCGGTTGGTTGGTTGGTTGAATGGTCAGTTGATTGGTTGGCTAGTTGGTTGGTCGGTTGGTCGTTTGATGTGCATATTACATACAAAATGACTGAACCTGCATTCAGATAGAGCTATGCGCAAGCCCAAAATTGCGACCTCGGTGACGTCATGATGACGTAAGCAGAAGTAGTGATGTGCTGGACTGAGCCGACCAATGATTGAACGACATAACATTTTCACTGAGGACGAAGATGATGATGACGACGACGATGATGAGGACAATGATGATGATGACGACGACGATGATGATGATGATTGTTGATGAAATTTTGGATTGCGTTTGTGGAGAAAACTGCCAGCGTTGAGGGGTTTATTTGCATTCTGTGTTGTTTTACATTTTAGTTGTTGATGATGACGACGACGATGACGACAACAAAGATGATGATGATGATGATGTTGTTGTTGTAGTTGGTGGTGGTGATGATTATGATGGTGGTGGTGATGGTGATGATAGATTGCTTGCCGGTGTTGTTGTTGTTGATATCTTCGTTTGTGTAAAATTTGCGTTTGGTTATTTTGTTGTTGTTGATGTTGTTGTTGTTGTTGCTGATGTTGTTGATGTAAATGTTGTTGTTGTTGATGTTGTTGTTGTTGACTTTCAAAATACGTTAGAACATTTTGTCGCTTTTTGTTAGCCGATATATTGGTTGTTGTTGTTGTTTCTGTTCTTGAGGGCATTACCATTCTATTAATTATAGATAATTATAAATAATAATAATAATAAATTATAATAATTTCTATAATCATCCATATTACTATTATAAATAAATAAACATGTATTAATACCATTTCATATAAACAAATAAATTCATCATATTGATTATAACTTTTAAAAAAAAATTTCAAAAAACCTAACCTCGAATCAAGTAGGGCAATGAAAAATAACAATAATAATATGTTTGGTATATTCATAATTTAGAATAATATTAACAATAATTATTATTATTATTGTTATAATTAATTCATAATTTAGAATAATATTAACAATAATTATTATTATTATTGTTATAATTATTTTATTGTCATTAATATTAATTATACTTAATAAAAATTCTTTTTAGAACATGCGTTTTCTACCGAGATTTCTAAACACACATTCGCATTTTATGAACATCATTATCAAGACGAGCTTCGTCATCGTCATCATCATTCCAATCGTAATATACAAATATATACAAAGATAAACGAAGATACAAACGAATATACAGAATTATACGAAGTCACCGAAATCAAACAAAGTGTCATCAAGAATATACATATAGCATACAAAAAACATGCTACTTATACAAAGTCATACAATACAATACAACGACATACAATACAATACTATACAACATAATACAAAGACATACAATACAATACAAAGTCAAACAGACACATACAAAGATATATACAAATCACACAAACAGATAGTATGTTTTTGATATACAAACATTTGTATGTTTGATTGCATGTTACTCATTAAGGTTCTCACTGTATAATTGATATCGTGAAGTCATAAGTTCAACTGAAATACAATGCACCTATATAACACCTGCGAACACACACACAAATACACAAAGAGAGAGAGGGAGAGAAAGAGAGAGAGAGAGAGACATACTCACACATACATACCAAAACATACATACCCAAACATACATACGCAGATATAAGAAATCCGTTGTATATGGTGAGTGTATTTCTTTCTGATAATTGCATATTAGCTTATAATTAAGCCTCTACTAACAAGGTATCTATATCGGTACGCACACACATATACACGCACACACACATACACGCGCGTACACGCAAACACACGTATATGTATTTACACAGCGAATGCCAGCAGGCATCGAGTAGTGAATATGGACGAATAGTCGAAAAGCTGATCGATTTATTAAGACGGATACCGAAGAACCGACAATTTTGAAGAAAAAAATCATTTTTTAAAATGAAAAACGAGCTATTGCTGGAAAAAACAGTTTTTAATATTTTTATTATTATAATTATTATTATTCTTACTAAACAACAAAAGAGCCCTACACAACATAACTATATATATATATATATCTATACAAGACCATAGGATGGATGTATGGATGGAACAAATGAGTAACTAAATATATAATTTAATGAATGAATGAATGAAAGAACGAACGAGCGGAACCAAGGAATGACTGAATAAAAGGAGGAACATGAATGAATAGAAGAAAGAAGGAATTAGAAGAAACATGAATGAGTGAATGAGCTACCGAATGAATTAACGAATGAATAAATGAATGAACGAACGAACGAACGAACGTACGAACGAACGAACGAAATAACAAAACACATGAAGCTGAAGTTATCACATGTAAGGAAAATACACACACCGCATGCCACAAATAAAATTAAAAATAAATAAATAAAAACAAATAAAATAAGAATTATATAAATAACAGTGGCCATCGTACATTTTTATCTTATAATAACTCAAATCTGAATAAATTTATATATATATAATATATAGAGAGAGAGAGAGAAAGAGAGAGTAAAAGAGAGAGTTTTTTCGTACTAAAGTCTTTTTGAGGCTAAATTTGAGGAATGAATAACTAAAAAAAACGATTTATCTATAAGAAATTATTATTATTATTCTTCTTAATAAATATAAATATGAGCAGTGTATATATATATATATATATATATATATATATATATATATATATATATATATAATATATAATATATATACACATGGGAACTTAACAAGCCATCACCATCATCACCATCGTTATCATCTCCAAAACCAATGATAACTAATTGACTGATTAATTAACAATAAAATACCGCAACTATAATAATAATAACAATAATAATAATCATTATTATCTAAATTATTATTATTATTTAACGTTTGCTTCATATTATATTATATTATTATCAAAATTATTATTCTTCTTATTATTATCCCTCTTCTTCCTTTAATTATTATCATTATTATTTATCATCAAATCTATCAGTAAATAAATGGAGATAATTATAAATAAATGAATGATGAAATCGGTCGGTCACTCAATCGTCAATAATTGATAGGGCTTTAATAATCTCTTTAATTATTGAGCTTGAGTAGATATAAGATATATATATATATAAATATATATATATATATATATACATACATACATACATAGATACCAAGCAATACAATCATACATACAAAGCAATACAATAAGCGTACTATAACAGACTGAGAAAAATAGATAATTTCTTAGAAAAAATTATGTCTGTTTGTATGTATGTATGTATGCATGTATGTATGTATGTATGTTTGTATGTATGTTTGTATGTCTGTCTGTATGTTTGTATTTACCTATTTATGTTTGTGTTGTGACACAAATCAAAAAAATTAAGTTTTAATGTATTTATGATATATATAATCATGGAATGATTGAGTATATATATATATATATATATATATATATATATATATATATATATATATATAGATGAAGAGAAAAAGGGTAAGAGAGAGAGAGAGAGAATGTTAAATCAACAAATAAACAAGCTGAAATTTTGAACGGAAAAATGATATATAATAATAATGTTAATGATAATTATAACCATAATATATACAAATAATAAGAATTCAACAATAATTTAAATAATTTAAAAAGGCAAATTAACTAGTCTGATAGATAGATCGTGAGCTAGCAATTTTAAGGAATGGTTTTCTTAATTAATCAATGAAACAAAGCCAATAATAAATATATTATTATTATTACTATTATTATAAATAGTAATAGTAGTAGTTTTAGTTTCAGTAGTGGTAGTAGTAGTAGTTGTAGTAGCAGTAATAGCAGCAGCAGTAGTAGTAGCAGTAGTTGTAGTAGCAGTAGTGGTGGTAGTAGTAGTCGTAGTAGTAAAAGTAGCAGCAGTAGTAGTAGTAGTAGTAACAGTAGTTGTAGTAATAGTAGTAGTAACAGTAGTTGTAGTAATAGTGGTAGTAGCAGCAGCAGTAATAGTAGTAGTATACAAAATTGAGTAAATGAATTATATGGGAATGAAAGAAGAGAACGAAAGTTTAAATGAATAAACTTGTAACACGAGCGTTAATTCAATAGCATCAGTTCATTCATTATTATCAATGTTTACTCATATTATTATAATTATCAAATGTTATTATTAATTATTATTATTATTATTGTTGTTTATTATTATACTGTGATTAATTTCATAACTCTATTCACCATCAAAATTATTATCATCATTATATACCACCACCACACTATTGTTAAATATTTTTTAATATATTTATAATTGATGATTATTATTATTATTATTTTTATTATTATTGTTATCATTGTTATTATTATTATTACTGTTGTTCCTGATATTTTCTGTGCTAGCCATGCGACCTTGCAGCATCAAGTTTCCAGATGGCTTTCGAACTTCTTGCTTTTTTTAGGAAGAAAAATATAATTAATTAATAATTAAATATAATTAATAACAATAATAATAATAGTTATTATTATTTATTATTATTTATATTATTTATACTCACGTTTAATGGACTATTTTGGTTGAGGACGGACAGGGAACTTGCCCTCTTCATTCTGGAGTCCATTCGATCGAACAAAAAACACATGGTCGAAAAATTATGACATGAATAATTATAAATAATTAAAAATAATAACAAATAATAATAATAATGATGAATCACCGACAAACCACAACAACAACAAAAACCAACACCAACACCAGCAACAACAACAACGACGTACCCGCCATACTGAGAAGGATCGTAGCCGTGACTGCTGGCGTGCATACCGCCTGTGATCTTCTGCACGAGTTTGGCGCTGCTCTTCTGGATGGAGGCCCGCAGGCGAGAGAACGAACCACTCCTGGCACGTAACTTTCCGTTCTGTTTGTTGCAGATAAATAACATATTTATCAATACCAAACACACACACGCACACACACGCACGCACACACACACGCACGGACAAACACACACACGCACACACACACCTCGTTCCCGCCTGTGTACTCGGCGACACTCTCGTCAGCCGATCTGTCGCAGGACACGTCCAAGTTGGAGTCTGAAGTTTTGCCGCGCGTCAGTTTCGTTATCTCTCTCATATCGCTGCAGCCACCTTTCTTGCCACCTGTCGCCGGGTCCACCTGAATGAGTGAAGGAGTGAGTGAGTGGATGTAGGGATGAAAAAATGAATGAATGATTGATAATTGATTAATTGGCTATGATGGATGGTGGCTGGATCGATGAACGAGTAAATTGGAGATGATTGATGACAGTTAATCCATTCGTTCATTTATTCATCCATCCATTCATCCACTCACTCACTCAATCACTCAATCAACCACTCACTCACTCACAGATTTTCTAGTTTTACTGAGAAATTCTTCTAAAGTCTCGGCAGCTTGCATCTTCCCTTGCCTCCTATAAAGTGCACTGAGGTTTTTTACCGTTGTTGCTACTGTTGGGCTATTTGTTGTTGTTTGTTGATGATGTTGTTGTGTTGATGATGTTGTTGTTTGTTGATGTTGTTGTGTTGATGTTGTTGTTGATGTTGTTTGTGGATGTTGTTGTTGATGTTGTTGTTACCTGGTTGTTGTTGTTTGTTTTGTTGCTGTTGTTGTTTGTTGATGTTGTTGTTGCTTGTTGATGATGCTTGGTTGTTGCTGATTAATATCGTTGTGTCGATGTTGTTCTTGATGTTATTTATTATTATTATTATTAATATTATTATTATTATATGGTTAATAGTATAGTCAGACTCACTTATCGACTTTAATGGTCTTCTGCCAATCGGTGCCTTTGCTCTTTTCATTCTGTTGGTAGAGTTGGAAGAAGCACTCAGAGCCGAGCAATATTTAAATAATACTACTATCTTCTTTATCGTTTAAATGAAATTTTTTAATTAATTATCGTACGTACTTCGCATTCTTCAGCTAGCATCCATATAGGCTTGTTGTTATCTGTTTATATATTAATATAATTAAGAATAATAAAGCAAACAATCAATCAATCAACCAACCAATCAACCAACCAACCAACCAATCAATCAATCAATCAATCAATCAATCAATCAATCAATCAATCAATCAATCAATCAATCAATCAATCAATCAATCAATCAATCAATCAATCAATCAATCAATCAATCAATCCATCAATCAATCAACCAACCAACCAACCAGCCAACCTGTAATTCTACCAAATTCTTTTTCATGTACTTTCGTCAAGACATCCTTGTACAACCTTTCTGCCTCTTTGTATTTGCCTTGCTTCAAATAAGCTGAAGCCTATGTTTAAATCGTTTTAAATCTTTATTTATTGAATGAAAGAAAAAAGAAATAACTACAATTCACAAACGAATAAATTAATAAATCCATTCCCATATATTAAAATCTATAAGTGTGCGCGCGTCTGTGTATCATACGAAAATAAAGCTAAAAATACTAGAAGTATTAACCGTATTTAAACAACAAAAATAAATTAAACTCTAACTCGTGAAAGATGAAAACTAAAAATAAGACTATTCATTACTTTAAAAAAAAATAGCATCAATTGATATAAACTGGAAAAAAATAACAATGAAGCATACTACTGATCGCAAAGCGGAACACACACACACACACGCACGCACGCACACACACACGTACACACACACGCACAAGCCAGCTAACTAACGCAATGTAAAAATCTCTAAAGGGCAAAAACAGCAAAATAACAAAAAAAAGCATGAAAAAAAAAATAAAAAGCCAGAAGAAGAAACAAAAACTAACGCCACCCAACCAGGTTATTCTTAGTTTTTGAGACGTTCAGGTCATCCGCGCCAAGCTTCCTAACGTAAATATCTAAGGCCCTTCTGTAGTGGTGCTCGACCTTGCTCGTACGGTTGGAAACGGAAATTTTGAAAAGAGAAGGAAAAAAAAAGACTAAATAAGATCGTGAAAAATAAATAACCAAAAATACCAAATAAATAACCCCAACAGAAAGATCATAAATAAAAACGAAATACCAAAAAAACATGAATATATATGACACTACAAAAAAAAAACAACATTGAAATAACAATGAAGGCGACAGCCAAAAAATACGGCAAAACTGAAAATTTTTTGGAAAAAATTAAAAAATATTCCGAATTCTAGAAAAAAATCCAGCCTATTTTATCAAATAAATATGTAATAATAATAATAATAACACGAAGAATAAAAAGAAGAATACTGATCGTTAACCAAGGCATAAACCCATAACTAAACTAAACTAGCCTAAACCTAACAAACAGATAACATGAAGTTATAGCCACCACACACCACTACTACAAATACAACTACTTTTATTATTATTATGAATATTATTATTATTATGATAATTATTCTTCTTCTTCTTCTTATTATTATTATTCACCAAATTATTTTTCGTCTTGGCGACGTTACAATCGTCACAGCCGTACTGCGTCTCATAGATCTCTATGGCCCTCATGTAATAAAACTCGACCTTTCAATTTAATTACGTCATAATAATAATAATAATCATAATAATATTCATAATAATAATAATAATATTAATAATAATACAAATAATTACGTCACGATACAAATAATATGTATTATTATTGTTGTTTGTTAATTTTGTTTTAAAATGGTTGTTAATTAGTTTGGAATCCATTGAAGTTTCGATCAGATAGAATGCATCAGTTGGATCCAAGTTTGTTGGTGGTTTAAAAACATGGAAATTATTATTATTATTATTATTAATTATATAAATTATATAAATTATTAATTATATAACGAACAAACAAACAAACGAACGAACCAACAAACGAACAAACGAACGACTAAACAATAATAAACAAATGAATAGACGATTTTGCAATGAGAAAAAAAAACGCTAAATACATTAACCAACAAACATATGATTATAAACATTCGATGCAGAAGAAACACGCTACAAACGAACGAACACACACACACATACACACTCACACACACACACACACACACACACACACGCTCATACACGCACACACACACAAACAAACAAATATTAACTTCATCATATTTAGATTGATTCTGACATAGCAAAGCCAGGTTGTTCAACTGTTTTGCTACA